GGGGGGGGGAAATCATTGCGGTTTTACGCTGCTGCGGAGGTTGTGTGCTCTTCTTCTGGGGCTTTATTTTTGCCTAATTTTCCCAAACTGAGAGTATTTGGAACTAGCAAGGCAATAATTTTGTTCCTCTGGTTTTGGATGAGCGATGTTACCCGTTGCCAGTTGTATCTGCATGGGTGACAGTCGATGCCAATCTCAAACGGTAATTGGAAAACTGAGTTGATGTAGGCAGCTCTGCCGGTAATTGTGTTTGCTCAGATAAGCCACGCTCGGGGAACCGATAGCTCTGCCCAGGCGATGGGGACGGAGGAAGGGTGCTCACCAATGCGCCCGAAGGACGGTCGAGCTGCGTCAGCCTTTCGATGTTCCCCGCAGGATTTGGCCTCGAGCCTTGCTGCCAGGGTGCTGGTCTCCCGCTGGCGTGGGTAGGATGGTTGCCCTTCCCACAACCACGCCACGGCCACGGGGAGGTCAGGGCCAAAGCCTGGAGGGTATTGCGGCGCGTGGTTCCCAGCTACAGGGATGAGATGAGGCACCTACGCACCTTTGCCAGTCTGAGGCTAAATCGCGTGTCCGAGATCAGGCTGGGAAGGGAGGATGGGTGCAGACGAAGAGTTGGCTCTGCAGATGGAGCGCGGTCCCCCTTCTCTGGGATTTCGGGACTTGCGGAGATGCTGCTGGGTGGTGGGATGCTTGAGAAGGGTCCCTCCCGGCTGGTGTGTGTTTTTTTGGCTAGCATCAATGTACCACCTTAGCACAGGACATCTGCACAGGGCTTGGTCCTCCTCAACATGGCCCAAAAAGGACTTTGAAGGTCTTGCCTTTGTTTTTTGGTCATGGGTGGGAGCAATTAGGTGGGACCAAGGTGGACGTGACCTGAGCACCCCTAACCGGGCACAGGGCAGAGTGCTGCTGGGACTGGCTCCCCGTGCCAAAGCCCAGTCCCACAGCAATCAGGCAGAGGGGCAACCATGGAGTAAATGGCTTTTGTGCGCCAAGGTCTCACTGAGAGGGAAGGCTGGCGGTAGGAGAGATAGCCTCGATGGCCGGGGAGGGGCACATGGGGCGGCACAGCTCGCAGCGGCTCAAGGCTCACGGCGGCTGTGCGGGGAAGGGAAGTCGCTGCTGGAAATTCATTTTTGAGTTGGCAATTACACCAAGCCTGGAGGGCTGCGGACATCCTGACAGCACGGGCCTGGGGACAAGGGTCAGCAAAGACTTCCCACGAGAACTATTCATAGGCAAACGCAGCTGCGATCCTCTGCACCAGGGATGCCTTATTAAAAAGCGCTCTGTTCGAGCAGCTGCCGAGAAAACATCCGTTTCTGGGGTGGCTTTCCATCTTGGCGAGGATGAGTGCCATCACAGCGGCCGGCCCCAAATGCAGAGATTAATGCGTGAAGCTTTTAATCCTGCACAGCCGCTGGTGAAGGAGCATCCCGCCTGCTGTGCCCTTGCTGCATCTGGCCTCCAAACGAAGCAGATCCCCTCCCCAAAGGGTGGAAGCGAGGAGAAAAGCTAGCTGTTAATAAAAGACACTCTGAAACCCATCTTCATATCATCGAGAGGTGGGATGAAGTGTTTTTGGAAGGCGGGCACCAGCGGCAGCAGACAGACAGACGGCGGTGCAGCTGGGAAGAGGCTGCAGGATGTTCCCAGCAATCGGCAGCTGGAGAAGGGAAGGGGTGGGCTGCGAGCTCCGCAATAACACCTGGAAAAGGGGAGGAGGGGAAAGCCGGTGTCTGATCTGCAGATGCAAGCCGGGAGTGCGTGGGCAGGGGTGTAGGAGGGCTTGGCGGTTGCGACGGGGAAGTTTTTCTCTTTGTCTGAAGCACGGCTGTGCCTCGTCCTGCCTTGCTGCCTGCATTTCCCAGGCGTTTGCTTTTTGAGCCTGTCTGCTGAAACTCTTCGTTCTGCCTCTCTCATCTGAAAAATGCCTTCAGATCTGCTCAGGTCAAAGAGACTGCTACCTACCCAGCTGAGGAGTAGCAGAGACCGGGCTCTGCCTGGCTCCATCCTTCCCAGGGGAGCGAGGAGCCATTTCCCCTGGTTTTACAGGAGGCACAGACACGGCTCAGCTCTTTTCTGCCCACTTGCTTCAGCCCATGAGGGAATTCACACAAGGCAGGGGAGGGTTAAAGCTGTTTTTTTCCTATGAGCTCTGCAATGTTGTCCTGCAATGACATTTGCCCTAGCAAGGAATTATTCTCCCTCTGTCTGAATGTTTATGTACCAAATACCTGTTCTTCTGTCTTTGTTCTCCGGTTCCTTAATCAGAAGTGCCTAGATCTTAACCAAAACTCAGGCAAAGAGCCCCTCCGAGGAGAGAAACCCAGCTGTGTGTGAGTCTAGAGGGGAACTAGGAGTAAACCTCAATATTTCCAAGTCATTAGTGAGCAATGTCTCTGGGCTTCTCCATCTTCTGTAGCCGAGAGGCAGGGACCAGGTCTTAGAAAGAACGCCAGAGAATGAAACTTCTGGCTAAACCAGCGACAGAAATGTTTTCCAGCCGCAATAACACACCTTGAGACATGGGTGAGGGCAGGAGACTTGCAAGAAAGGGGGAATTTCCTTTCCATGCCCCAGAGAAATCCATTCATTTGACCAGCAGGGCTTGTGAATGAGCCGAGAGCCGCTCCAGCCCCACGGCTCAGGGAGCTTCACCGCTTTTGTTTCAGTATTAAACAGCTGGAGGGATGTCTCCACTAAGAATATGTGCAATAACAAAATCATTACTCTCCCTAATTATGCTCGCTAATGTGCACTTATGGCCAGAAGACCTATTCCAGATTACTGAATTCGGTGAATTTATTAGCAAGGAAGCAGCAGAACAGGATTAGAAATCCCAAAGGTACAGCGTTACATAATGCACCGCACTCATTTATTTTGACAAGCTCAGTTTAGTTTTAATTATTTATGATAATGAACTGAAATGCCTTCTCTAGGCTGTTTTGTATAAGTAATGGAGGCTTCCTGAAGTACACCACATGCATCTGCTGTTCAACATTTCCTCAGGAGTTGGACAAGAGACAGAAGACGGGGGGGAAGGGTGCGGGGACGTCACTAATTCCCAGACACTAAAAATACCCACAGCAGTGCCAGAGAAACGTGCTGCCAGATTGTAGGGTATCATTTGCTACTTGCGGTGCGTGCTTGGAATAATTTGCTGCAGACAAATGGTGGGCTATGAAAGACCCTGCAATGGCCAAAGCCGCACCATTATATACCAGTTGTGGCTCCCACAATTTACCTAAGTCATGGGTTTGGCTCGTGATGTTTTTCTGGGTTGTTTCTTGCCACAAAGTCACCACCTGTGCTCTCTAATGATCCGTGGTCCGTTTTGTCCTGTCCTTTAGGCCCTGATGAGGACCGTGTGGCACTACTGCATCATTGCGGTGCCGCTGGTGTTCGCCTTCAGCATGCTGGGCACCATCACCGACAGCATCCTCACCAAGGCCGTCCCCTCCTCCGACACCGGTAAGGCTCGTCAAAAAAGATCAGACTGGTCTTTTCTCGGTTTTGAGTCCCTCAGGTGCTTCCCAGCTCTGCTCTCGAGCGCCAGGGCACGCTCATGGCGAATGCCCAATTCCCCAGCAAATCTGACTTGGCAGTTGCGTGCAGTGGGTGTCAGCAGAGCGGATGAACGGGGACCGGTGGGGCTAACGCAGGGTGAGCTTGAACAACATTGAGCAAGCATCCTACGACCCAGTGCTCCCGGTCCTCTGCTGCCTGCTGACATCCATAGTGCTGGACGCAGGAAGGGAAGCCTTTCCCAAATTCTCCTTTCCATGGGAACCCATGATATGTTCAAGAAAGAAAAAAAAGCTGCTTTTCCACCGTGAGGGTGACTGAGGGGGCTGTTCGTTCATGCCTTTTAACTTAGGACATCTCAGGAAGGTATTCTGGATCGCTCTTTGGAAACATGTTCTACCTGATGCAGTAATTGGCCCCCCACTCTACATTTTGGCCGTGTTTCAGTCAAACAGTTACTATATTTCTCTGTACAAGGGGGCTGAAATGCCACGGTAGACACACAAATCTTTATACCTGGTTTTTTTTCTTTTGTCGACAAAGGAAATATGGCTACGTTATTGTCATGGGAGCCTTGCTGAGTTTGTCCCAGGATGGAGCTGGGTTAACCCAGTTTGGTGTCTTTTGCTCAAGCTCGAGGGTAGGAAGGCTCTGCAGAGG